TCCAAGGTGCGCAGAGCCAGAAGTGAGTCCAGAGCCTTGGATGGTGGCAGCGGGAACCCCAGGCTAGCGGGGGTGCTCCAGGGAAGGGGTCGGCCGGACGGGAGGCACCCCAGGGAGGCACTCGGAGCCTGGAAGGTGGTCGGGCGCAGGGAGGTGGGCGGCTCAACGCAGGAGCGCCCCCTACTGGCCTGCCACAGCCCCTACCTAGGAAGAAATCCCTCTCTCTCTGTGTCCTTGTGGTCTCGTTGGACAGTGGGGCTGGCCATGTGTCTGTGCATGTGGGGAGCAGCTGGGTCCTTCCCCAGGTTCCTCCCAGGAGGCTGCAGCCATGCGGTGGGTGTAGAGCTGAGGCCAAGCGGGATGGGGCAGAGCACCAACGTAGTGCAGAGCCTTTTGTGGTGTGGCAGGACACTAGAGGACACAACTATGCTGAGCCACCCACCTCACCGTGCCTGGCCCAACACCATGCTCCAGGAGTTTTTTCCTGGGTCACTTACTTCTGGCCGTCCCTCCTCCTGGAGACCTCCCACAAGCCTGGGGGAATGCTGTAACCACCCAGGCACTGGTCTCTGTTAGGGCTCTGTGCAGCCCGGGGTACACAGACCCAGCCAGCCTTGGGGGTGCTTTGCCCCCTGGAAGTATTTCTGGGTGCTCCTTGTAGCCTGAAGCCTTCCAGTATATTCTCTGGTAGGAGTGAATTAATTAATAAATGGCCAAGCGCTGCTAGAAGTGACATGCCATCTGACCCCTCTCCCCTCAGGCATTCACAGCTAGGCATGCTGAGCAAGATAGCCTTTTATTAATCAGAGAGAGAGAATGGGGGAAGGGAAGAACAAAGGGACTTTTTGTGAAAAACGCCTGGAGCAATACAGAATAATTTGAGCCTTTCAACAAATTTGGGTTCAGGGACCCTTTTTAACATGTCTAAAATCACTTAATCCTTATATGCTGGCCAACAATAGTGACACATAGGGGGTGCACGCAGGTGCACGTGCAACCCCTGAGATTGGCTATGAGCCCCCTGGAAGTGTCAGCTGTGAAACCGAAAGTGCTACTGAAAGTGCACTTCTGGTTTCACCAGTTTTGCCACTTGCTCAGGGATCAGCCACTGGGGGACTCAGCCCCCGAGCAGCGATCCGGTGCACTTATGTGCTATCAGTGTGTATCAATAAAATTCACATGTTATGGAATGGAGAAGTTGTGGTCAGTCTGAGGGTTCGGGTCCTCCCGGAACAAGGTATCTGGGTCATAGACCTAGTGCCAACACCCAGTCCATGGGTTTCCCTCTTCCCAGAGGGAATCAGCCCTCCATGCATGTTGGAGAGAGCAGCTGCCTCTCAATGCAGACCCAGGCCGTTGGGAAGCAGGAGGTGCAATCACAGCCCAGCCTCTGCCGAGTCTCATGACCGGGCCAAACTTCCTCTTCCTAGCTGAGCTTCCTGGTGCCCTGAATGCTGATTGTGCCCAAAAAAGGGCTAAAAGGCTAATGGGTTGTAGTCTGGGGTCTGGAGCTCAGCTTCTGATGCATTGCACATCTACTGCACTTGGAGCAGTAAGCAATGTGCATGGCAGATTTGGCTCCTGGGGGAGTCATGCACACAGCTGGGGTCTGCCACGGAGCAGGCGAAGGCAGCATGGGTCCTTCAGGGATGTGACATCTCCTGAGAGGAGATAATTCCAGGAGAAGCCGCAGACTGGCTTTGGCCTGGGATGTGCAGTGCCCCTCACTGACATTGCCTGAGAGCAACAGCAGGATGTGGAAGCCAGCAGTGGAGTGAGGGGGTTTGGTCATTACCAGAGAGGTGCCTCTGGCCCATCCTGTCTCGAGACAGGCGAGGCAAAGTGCTGACCCCCATGGACAGGCCCTTCTTCTACAAGCTCCCATTCCCAGAGAGGGTCACGTTCTCCATAAAGGTGGACACAGACGTTGCCTTTTTTGCTGCCATTTCAGAAGGCCAAATGCACAGATGTCCATGCTCTTTGTCCTGCCACAACTGCCCAGAATCTGTGGCTGCAGGAAAGGTGGTCGTAGTTCCTGTTACAGCTGATGGTTTTTTTGCTGTAAAGTGTGAGAGCGCGGGCAGCCCAGAGATAGGCTGGGGTCTTAGGACTTGAGGGGCCTGATCCTGCATGCACTGGGAATTGAAAAAACTAGGCAACTGTGGCATCGATGCCTACACGATCAGATGGATTGCGAATTGGCTGAAGGGTCGTACTCAGAGAGTGGTGGTGGATGGGTCATATTCGACCTGGGGGGAAGTGGGCACTGGAGTCCCCCAGGGCTCGGTCCTTGGGGCCGTGCTGTTCAATTTCTTTATCAGCCATTTGGACGACAGGGTGAAAAGCAACCTGTTCCAATTTGCTGATGATACCAAAATTTGGGGTGAGGTGGGCACGCTAGCAGGGAGGGAAAGACTGCAGCAAGACCTGGATAGGTTGAGGGTGGGCTAACAAAAACAGGATGCATTTCAATACGGACAAGTGCAGGGTGCTGCACTTGGGCAGTAGTAACCAGCAGCACACTTATAAGATGGGAAACTCCCTTCTTGAGAGCACAGAGGCAGAAAGGGATCTTGGAGTCAGCATTGACTCCAAGATGAACATGGGCCGACAATGCGAGGTCATGGTTGGCAGGGCTAACCGGACCTTATCATGCATCCACAGGTGCATCTCGAGTAGGGCCAAGGAGGTGATCCTCCCCCTCTACGCGACACTGGTCAGGCCACAGCTGGAGTACTGTGTCCAGTTCTGGGCACCCCACTTCAAGAGGGATGTGGACAACATGGAGAGGGTCCAGAGGAGGGCCACCCGCATGATCCGGGGACAGCAGGGCAGACCCTACAACGAGAGGCTACGGAACCTGAACCTGTTCAGCCTTCACAAGAGAAGGCTGAGGGGGGACCTTGTGGCCATCTATAAACTCACTAGGGGGGACGAGAAGGGTTTGGGGGAGATCTTGTTTCCCCTAGCGCCCCCCGGGATAACAAGGAATAACGGCCACAAGTTGTTGGAGAGTAGGTTTAGATTAGACATCTGTAGGAACTACTTCACAGTCAGGTTGGCTAGGATCTGGAACCAACTTCCATGGGAAGTGGTGCTGGCTCCTACCCTGGGGGTCTTTGAAAAGCAGCTCGATGCCTACCTGGCTGGGTCATTTGAGCCCAGTTTTCCTCCTGCCCAGGCAGGGGGTCAGACCTGAAGATCTACAAGGTCCCTTCCGACCCGACTTCTATGACTATGATTCTATAAATTCCCATTCAGGATCAGGCTCCATAAATCCCAGGAGTGCCTGCCTGGCTTTCCTCGCTTAGAAATGCACCTCAGAGATGCCCTGGTGTGGGTCTCTGCTAGCGGAGGAAGCTGGGGTCCCACATGTAACCGTGCCCCAGGGGCTCTCTGAGGGACACCTTGGTAAGCAGGGAACATGTGGCCCATTGTCCCACATCGGTTCCCTGCCCAAAGCGGGACAAGGGGCAATGTATGCTTGACCCCGTGAAGTGGATTAGATGTGCTGGAAACGTCCTGTCACAGTTCGTCCGGCTC